CTATAAGAAAAATAATCAAAGACTAGGGGAATTCATAAAAAACATATAAAATTAAAGATTTTATATGCCTTGCAAGGACTGGCTTTCATATTAATGTGAAATTTAATTGCAGTAGAAAATAATATATTAAAAAAATTTTTGTAAGTGTGATTTAATGAAGTAAGTATAATTTAAATATAAGAATTTATAATGAAAGACATGAAAGGCTTGAAATATTTATAGTCGTTTATGTATGAAATGATATGTAGAAAATGTACATATTACTAACTTTCACTACAAATTCCTTAAGACTGTTCTAAGTATGTATGTATGCATATTCTTTAAGACTTATAACAATAAATTTGGCTTAAAGTTGCCAAGTTTCTATATTTATATAAAATTTATAATTAAATGGTTGAAACGAAAAGTTTATTTTTTTCAATATTCTCAGCAATTATAAACAATAATCAATATTTAATAGTAAATAAAATTTGTTTATCAGCGAAAGATGATGAAATGAGAAATATGTATATATGCATATATGTACATAAGTATATGAATATTAGTATATAGCTCCAGCTGTTCTCGAAAAGCTTATTTTATTGTATATAGCTATGTGTGGTTCAATGAAATATTTATATAATATTCAAATATATGTATGTCTTTTGGCTGATAAAATAATTGTCAATTAACATTGATGTAAGAAGTAAATATTTTTCATATCAACAACATTTTTTATAGGCATTTCATGGGTTGTCAACAAGATTCAATGGTTCTGTATAAAGTCCCGAACTTCAATGCAACCTAATCTAAGTCTAGTTTAGTTTTTTTTTTTTTTTATGACGGGCGAAGGTCACTAACGATTTGCAGTTCATTTCAGGGTTAAGCGAGGCTCAAGACTCAATTTTAGTGCCCGGGAAGAGATGTAGAACAACTCGCTCTAATTGCGGGTAGAAAGTAAACGTTGATTTGTAAATGGCTCAATCTGTGGATTGTGGGGCCAGGGAGGAGATCGGCAGGCGATGTCAATGGCAATTGGCCTCGGGCCAGAGAATGCCATAAAAAAAGAGGAGAATAATAATAACGCTTGGGATGCCCCCGGCTGCTTGGGCTACATTAATAGGACACAAGCAAAGAATTTTGACGAGCAGAGCCTCAAGTTGAGCATCTTCATCAATTGATGATAAGATTTCACTTGTGCTTGCCTCGTCCAATTAAGCGTGTGCTGCAATAACTGTTAAATTACTCACTATTGATTCTGCATATCCATGCCGCCGCTGCCGCCACCGCCGTTGGCAACAGCGCCTCCTGCTGCCGCTCCTGCTCCGCCAGCACCCGCGCCTCCTGCGGCGCCAGAGTTCAGCATGTTGCCCCCGTAGCCGCCCAGGCTGCCCTGCATGCCCGGCATGCCTTTGGCGCCCACAATGATGCCCAAATTAGCCAGACCCGCTAGCTGATGTCCAAGCGCGTGTCCTTGTCCGGCGCCATGTCCCATACCGTGTCCCATGCCGTGACCCATGCCGTGACCCATGCCATGTCCCATGCCATGCCCCATGCCCATGCCCATCCCGATGCCATTGGCTGCTGCCGGCGCGCTCGCCGTGCTGCTGCCCAGGCCGGCCAGTCCGCCCAGCTGATTGATGGCCGCACCACCGGCGGGCAGCGGCATGGCAGCACCACCGGCGCCGCCCAATTGGACAGCACTCGGGCCGAGCAGCGTGTTGAGCAGCGTGCTGTTTGGGCTGGGCTTGCCTAAGAGTTGTTGTTGCTGCTGTTGCTGCTGCTGGTTGCTGTTGATGTTGCTGCTGTGCAGCTGTTGTTGCTGCTGCTGCTGATGTTGCAGTTGTTGTTGATGTTGATGTTGCTGCTGCATGTTGACATTGCTCTCAATGCTTGGCAGCAACAGTTGCTGCTCCTGGCAGCGTCCCAGCCGGCTGAGTAAGTGCAGCAACAGCAGAAGGCTCAGAAATGTTGTATGCATGTTGATGTTGTTGCTATTCTTGTTGTTGTTGGTTTATGTCAATAATATATTATCAGTTGATATATTATCACTTGGCGTTGTTGTTGCTGTTGCTGTTGTTGCTGTTGTTATATCTCGTTTTGGTTGCGGTCTAGAGTCTACTTTTTGGCGTGTTTTTGAATGCGTGTTGTCGTAAGTTAAGTACTTTGTAGTTAATAAATTACTAAATGCTAGTTGCTACTTAATAAAATACGTTCTTTATATTGAATTATTTATTTTAAATGCAAAAAATGTTTCGTTTGTGTGATGTATCAAAAAATTGATTTCAAATTTCTAGTTGTTGGATTATATTTGATTTTGTCAAGGGGTCCCTAAATTGAGATTATGTAACTTTGATAGCTGTGATATATATGTTTATATATATTTATATATAGATGGGTATATATGTATGGATGTGATCTGGTTTCCGATTGATTTGTTTTTCCTGAACTCTTTTTCGTTTTTGGACTTCTTAATACTTTTCGTTTGATTTGCGCGCTTTGTTTTTCTTGGCTGGCTACATTTTGTTTTTTACAAACATTTTTTTTTTTTTGTTTCAGTTCACCATTTGCATGATTCAACTCAGATAAAATTTTTTCTAGGTTTTCGATTTTCGATTTTCACGTGAGCACTTCAAACGGTTTTCGTGTTTTCGTTTTTCTTCGTTTTTCACATTATCAATTGTTGATTTATTTGGTTTAGAGCAGCAGCAGCCGCCGCCTCCTGGCCGATCCAGTTGGCTTCCTGGAAACGTTTAGAGCTGCGCTGCCGAGGGCGCAACATCAAAAGACCAACAATTCCAGACAGATCCACCGATCGGGCGCAACGAAACCCGTTTGAACAGACGACGCGCCGCGTCCGCCTCAATGCCTCACGCCGATCCATCCATCTAAACAGGCTTAAAGGTCTCTCTCGTTTATTTTGTTTTCAGCTTTGGTTTTGTTTTTGTATATTTCTTAAGCCAGATAAAAAGGCGCCGACTGCGTCTCCAATGTAATGCGCGATTGGGGGCCGGCCGGCCGGCCACGTTTCCCAAAAAATCAAACACGCGCGCGCTCTTGTTCCGGACTCGATCGCACGGAAGTTCAGTGTCCCGTGGTCAGATTGCAGCGGATATGCTTGCCTCGCTTGCCTCTGGCCGAGCGGTATTGGACTCACTTTCACGTTTTACGTTTCACGCTTACGCACGGATTCGCTTGGGTTTCCTGCTTGAATTGACTTGGACTGTGTGCGGCACACACGTGCGTTTCACAGCTCGTTCGGCACTCGACTGACGACTGGCTCGACTGGCGACGACTGCGACTAGCTGACGGCTGGCGGCTGGCGGCTAGCGGCTGCTTCGTGTGCTCTCGTCTCGTGTATCTTTTGGATTCACCAGCGTCGTCGTTGCCCGCCTCTGATAGGCACATATAAACTGCGCTTGTTGTTGCTGCCGCAGTCGCTGCTGCTGCTGCGACTGATGCTGCTGCTGCTGCTGCTGCGACTGATGCTGCTGCTGCTGCTGCTGCTGCTGGCGTTGTTGTTGCGCATGGTGAAGAAATTCGCTGCTGCGCAGCTAGAGCCAGTGGTAGCTGTCAGCACCGTGTGTGCCCCGCAAGAGATACAATTGCATCTGCAGGCAGTGGGCTCGTTCATTAATAATCGCACGACAACTTGTCAATGCAGCTGCGCTTTGACTAACCAACTAATCGTTGTTAATCAGCGCTCATGTTAACCCAAAGCTGTTAACTCTCTGCAGCTAACATAATACGCTCTCAGCGCCAGYCAGCCAGCCAGAGGTGCGCACTTCACTGATTGCAATTTGTTGATACAACAATATTGGGCTCTGGCTGGGTGGTCTGGCATTCCATGGCAAACTGAGCGCCGAGCAATGCAGTATCAAATGCAACTGCCTCGAATTGCAGCGAAGATTGTTTTAGTTTATGCAATATAAACATTGGAGTTTAATTTAAAATACAATGCGTTGGTATATCTATTGTATATTGTTATGGCAAATTTTCTCATAGAGAAATGAAAATATTTCAAATAATAAGCTTATATTGATACTTGTGTTAATAGTTAATTACCATTTGCAGAACGATGCTAGAAGTTAAAAGATAAAAGTGCCCATTTAGATCCTAGATAAATAAAATGAATATTCATATTTATTTCTATTATTAATATGCAGTTAACATTGATTATATCTTAGCTTCGATCTGAGGCTTACAATCCTTTATATTTTATATATTTTTAATGTTTGTCATTCTTTACAAATTTCGTATGACTAAAGAGTTTTTTGGAATTGCAAGATAAAAAAGAAATTATATTAAGAATGATTATTATTATTATTTTTTTTTTTCTTACGATATTCTACATATTCTACAGAGCAAATTCTGTGAATTCGGCAGTTAAAACTTTTAATATATTGACACTAGATGATGTATTTATTATATATATATTAACTATAATATGTTATAATATTAGTTTCGATTTTTTTTTTAAAGATGTTCTTAGAAAGGAATTATATTGAATAACAAATAAGTGTAGATTTGTAAGCTGCAAAAAAGTCATAATGTAGTTATTTCTATTTATTAATGATGACTAATCAAATTTATATAGTCTTTATAAATTCATATTATTTTGATCAATACAGATTATTTAATTCTATGTATTTGAGCTACTTCAACGTTTCCTACACTCTCAAAGACTCTCAATCGATCATCTGAAGTGCATTGCATTCCAATTGATAAGGAAATCTTCAAGGAAGAAAAACAAGATTTGGATTTTTAATTTATTTATTTTATTGATATTCGTATCTGCTGGTGTGATTCCATCTGAGCTACTGCACAACCCCTGTGCGTGGCACTGGGATGCATCTGTTTATCTATAGATAAACGCATAGTTTTCTGCATGTGTGTGCGTGTGCGTGTGTGTATGTGTTTATTGTTGTTGTTTGCTTGGCTCATCCATGCGTCCATCCATCCATCAGTCAGTCAATCTGTTGGTTACACACTTTTCTCCTTAGGCAAACCCATATCCATCCAACGACTCAGCGACTACATTTCCACTTGTTGTTGTCTAAAAACTTGAGCTGTTTGCTGTTTACCTTCTTTCTCCTGTCCGTCTGCTGCGTCAACACATTCCCAAAAGGGCAAGGCACTCCGCACCGCACTGCACCACTGCACCACTGCACCAGTGTACCGCTGCAGCAATGCACCACTGAGCCACTAGACACCGATTGCCGGCTAGCCTGGTATCTCCATGACGTTTTATGGGCCTGCAAATGAGGCAAAAATTGCAGTTACAACTTTTGACCCAAAACCGTAAACGACACGAAATGCTGTCTCGCTGTCTCGCTGTTTCGCTGTCCCGCTCTCCGCAGTTCCACTCAATATTTGCTCAAGGTAATTACAAAAACAACAAGCAATAATATACATAGCCGGTCGTCGGCGTTGTCGATCATTCGGCTTGTTTATTTGTCCAAACATTTGTCAATTTCATTGAGCTCTGACCAGGCACATTTCCTCATGGGGGCGATCGCCAGAGCGAGTGCTCAGAGCGCAGAGTCGGCACATGCTTTGATCGACATCGACGTGGACAGCGACGGCGACTTCGGCTTCAGTTTCGGCTCAATTTAGATTCACTTTAACGTTGATATCATATGGCACTCAGAGGCATGCAGCACAATACACGCCATGATTGTGCGTTCTTTGGCGTTTATCTAATTTACTTTTACTTACAGCGCCAACTACACGGATATGACGACTGCTGGGCGCCCGCTTGCCAGCTGATAAAAAAATACGTATATATATGTATATATATATATATATCTGCAGCTGGGCAGGGGGCATGGGAATGCGACTCTAACTGCTAATGCCACACGGCTTTGCTCTGCTTTTATTGGCTTGACAATGGGCTCGTGTCTCTATCTCTATCTATCTGCCTTACCCTCTCTCTCTTTATAGCGCGCTCTCTCTAGTGTAAAGGTAAATTGTGAATGTTCTTCAAGTAGTTTTTTGTTTGAGACGCCGTCGCTGAGCTCTGCTCAGCGGGCATACAATGAGTATCCCTAATGATTTTCAATGAGCTGAAAGTCTGCACAGCTAATAGACAAATGACGCATTCAGTAAAGTTCGTCATAAATGACAATAAGTACCCAGAACTTGGCTCTCTAAACGGCTCAAGACGTTAGACGCAGCAGTCGTTGTTACCTTTCTTTATCTCAAATCAATGAATATTTATACGCAGCTTGAAGACATCTCTCTGATTAAATTATTAATTACTTATCATTATATATTTGTAAACAATTCATTATTTAGTACTTACGAACTTAACGTCGGATGATTTAAATAAAATTGAAGTACAGATTCTCCACTTCATTATAATAAACAAAAGAAAAAAAATAATAATA